TTTGTGGATTGATCCACAATTGTAAGCACCACTGGTTTCTGCATGCAGTTATTTACATAAACTTCTGGTGAATTATTTTTAAGGACTATCTGAATGACAAATTAGATTAAGAAAAAAAGAATTTCTTTTTCGGCCGCAGCACGTAGCTTGCAGTATCTCACTTCCCCAACCAGGGATTGAACCCAGGCCATGGCAGTGAAAGCCCAGAATCCTAACCACTAGGCCACCAGGGAATTCCCCAAGAAAACATTTTGAAAGTGGTTTTTGGTATTCTCCATAGACCTCTGACCTTGGTTTCGAAAAACTGCCATGAAGACGCCTTGTTAAAATTGAATAGTTCTTAAATGAATCCTTTCAGAGGTCCTGGCTGAGTAAATTACTCTCCAGATAATTTTATAGAGTAAAAGGTACAAATCTTAATACAGTTTGCTGAAATGTGACAAATGTATATAAATGTAACTCACATCCCAATCAAGATTTAGAACACTTCCATCATCCTAAAAAAATAACCTGATGCCATTTTCCAGTTAGTCTTTTCTGCCACTGTGTAACCCTCCTGCCAGAAGCAGCTGCTGTTGTGATTTCTATTGCCATAGATAGTTTGGCCTGCTTTTAAACTTCATATAAATGGACTCAGTACATGCTCTCTTTGTGTAAGGCCTTTCAAACATTGGGGTGATGTTTTTGAGATTCATGTTGCTGTATGAAGCAGTCATTTTTTCCTTTTTGTTACTGATTAGTATTCCATTGTGTAAGTATACCACAGTTTGTTTATCCATTCTGCTATTGCTGTACATCTGATTCAGATTATGGCTATTATGGATAAAGCTTCTATGAGCATTCTTATACAAATTTTGGTGGGGACATATGCTTTCATTTCTCTTGGTAAATACCCCAAAGTGGAATTGCTGGTTTAACCTTATAGGAGACGACCAGTTTTCCAGTTGTACCATTTTATGCTCTCACCAACAATGTATGAGAGTTCCAGTTGCTCTATATCCTTGCTATCATTTAGTGTTGTCAGTCTTTTTAATTTTAGCCATTCTAGTGGGTGTGAAGAGGTATCTCACTGTAGTTTAAATTTGCACTTTCATGATGCTTAAATGATGTTGAGCACCTTTTCATGGGCTTTCTGGCCATTCATATATCTTTTGTGAAGTATCTGTTCAGTGTTTTACCCATTTTTATTTTTTAATTTTAATTTTGTCTCTTATTGAGTTGTATTCATTCTTTATATTTCAAATACAAGCTGTTTGTTAGTGTCTTAGGTTGGGTTCCCCAGAACACAGACTCTGAGAAGATTTGCATGCAGGAAGTTTATTGGGGAGTGCTCTTGGGAGTAACTCCTGTAACTGGGTTACAGGTGTAACTTGGATTACTGGTAACCCAAGTAATTCTTGAGGTCAGTTAGCTCTTTCTCTTTTCGGTACATGCATCCCTTTCCTCTCTTCTCATCTTCCCTTAATTTGCAAATCTGGGGTATCTTTCATTTCCATTTCCCAGAGTAGAGCATAGTCAAAATGCTGACAGGACAATCTTCTTTCCTAGTAATTTATTCATTAGTTTGAATTGTGGAGTTCTGAAACCGAGGCCTTCAAATGAAATGGTATGCTCAGTCCAGTTCAGTTTTACCCTCATTTTTGTCCTTCGTTAGCAGTAAAACTTGACATTCATGGTTTTTTTTAAACAAAGGTGACTTTTATGAATTGTTTAGAGAGAATGATGAAAAGACTAATTACCGTGTCACCTTTTACACAGAGTAGAGCTGTTTTTCCATCTTGTGTTCTCCATGCTCTGACAGTTTGTCTCAAATGAATGCTGTGATTAGCAGTACTCCAGTGAGTTTAGTAACTTGGAAAAGACAAAGACTCTTAGAATAGCTCAGTATTGAGCATTAAAATAGTAACACCAGTTGTCTGGTGTCATTTTTCCAAAATGCTTTGGCTACTTTCTCCTATTGACTCCTCTATCTTCACAAGACATGTAGAAATACTGTTTTACAGAAGAAAAGTTGAGGGACTTCCCTGGTGGTGCAGTGGTTAAGAATCCGCCTGTCAATGCAGAGGACACGGGTTCAAGCCCTGGTCCAGGGAGATCCCACATGCCATGGAGTAACTAAGCCTGTGCGCCACAACTACTAAGCCTGCGCTCTAGAGCCAGCGAGCCACAACTACTGAGCCCACGTGCCACAACTACTGTAGCCTGCACGCCTAGAGCCCGTGCTCCCCAACAGGAGAAGACACTGCAATGAAGCCCGCGCACCGCAACAAAGAGTAGTCCCTGCTCACTGCAACTAGAGAAAGTCTGCACACAGCAACGAAAACCCAACGCAGCCGAAAAATTAATTGATTAATTAATTAATTAAAAAATAAGAAGAGTTGAAGTGCTAACTTGTTAACTAATTTGAACATGGAGTCAGTTCTGCCTCCCAAGCCAGTGCCCCAACCACTGGATGCATTCAGAACACTCTCAGTTTATAAGTAGTTAATGGCTATCCTGAATGTATGAAGAGGTGACCTGGCCTAGGTGCTAAGGGGATTTCCCTCTTGCTATAGGGCAAGTATTAGCTGGTGCTGACATTGCAACTGTAGTCCCCCCATTTTCAATAGATACACAATAGGTATAGATCCCTTCTTTGTTCTCAAACAAGGAGGGGGTAATGTTTCAACCAGCCTTTCATCTAAAAACCCATTTTCCTAGTACAAGTATAGTACTTGTACCTATATATTCCCACAGCTTCACAGTTGCAAGTTCGGTAGTATATCAGAACTAATACAACCATTGTTATTTTTGCTAACCTCATAAAAGAAACTAAAACAGAAAAGTTAAGTACATGATATACTATTAAATTGTTAAAACTTTTTCCTAAGCAACATAAATGCCCTCTTCTACGTTTTTGTTTTTTTTTAATTTTATTTTTGGCCGCATTGGGTCTTCGTTGCTGTGCACGGGCTTTCTCTAGTTGTGGCAAGCAGGGAGTATTCTTCATTGTGGTGTGCGGACTTCTCATTGCGGTGTCTTCTCTTGTTGCGGAGCACAGGCTCTAGGTGCGCGGGCCTCAGTAGTTGTGGCTCACGGGCTTAGTTGCTCCATGGCATGTGAGATCTTCCTGGACCAGGGCTAGAACCTGTGTCCCCTGCATTGGCAGGCAGATTCCCAACCACTGTGCCACCAGGGAAGTCCACCCTCCTGTAGTTTTAAAGATCATTTTTCATACTGCTAAGACTTCAGGAAGCCATATAGGGTACATCACCACTTCAAGAAATTTTGAAACTTAATCTTTTATATCTTGTATGTCAGGATACTGTCTCTTAAAGAAATGAGTGAAAAGAAAAAACTGGGATTAAGTGGATTAAAACCATAGATCATTTATGGCATTGATTGTGATGATGGTTTCACAGATGTATACTTATTTCCAAGCACATAAAGTTGTATGCATTAAATATCTATAGCTCTAGTATGTCAATCTTAGTCAAGCCTTTTTTAAAAAGCTATAGGACATTTAAGCATCAAACTGAATATGGGGACTTCACTGGTGGTGCAGTGGTTAACAATCCGCCTGCCAATGCAGGGGACATGGGTTCGATCCCTCGTCTTGGAAGATCTCACGTGCCGCGGAGCAGCTAAGCCCATGCACCACAACTACTGAGCCTGTGCTGTACAGCCCGAGAGCCACAACCACTGAGCCTGTGTGCCACAACTACTGAAGCCTGTGTGCCTGGAGCCCATGCTCTGCAACAAGAGAAGCCACTGCAATGAGAAGCATGCGCACCGCAATGAAGAGTAGCCCTCACTCGCTGCAAATAGAGAAAGCCCGTGTGCAGCAACGAAGACCCAACGCAGCCAAAAATAAAATAAATAAATAAATTTAAACTGAATACATTTTTTCATTGTATGAGTAATACATGTCCATTGCAGATAAATTAAAAATGTGTTGTAGGGACTTTCCTGGTGGCACAGTGGTTAAGAATCTGCCTGCCAATGCAGGGGACATGGGTTCGAGCCCTGGTCCGGGAAGACCTTACATGCCGTGGAGCAACTAAGCCCATGTGCCACAACTACTGAGCCCGCGTGCTGCAACTACTGAAGCCCACACGCCTAGAGCCTATGCTCTGCAACAAGAGAAGCCACCGCAATGAGAAGCCCGCACACTGCAACAAAGAGTAGCCCCCGCTCGCCGCAACGAGAGAAAGCCTGCATGCAGCAACCAAGACCCAACACAGCAAAAAATAATAATAATAATAAATAAATTTAAAAATAAAATTTTAAAAATGTGTTGTAAATTATATATTACACATTATGTTTATAATCTATAAAGTAAAAAATTTGTTAATGTGTAATTTATACTTGTTCTGCTTGTATGTATACCTTTTCAAAAGAATTATGAGATTATCAGTGCATATTGTTGGCCACCAGCTTTTTCCTCATAACAGTACATCATGACTTTCTGTATCCATGAATAGACCTGTGTCATAATTTTTAATTGCTGAGTCTTGTGCTACTGTGATGAAGTGTTAAAGTTTATTAGATAGTCTCCTTTCTTGGACATTTAGGTTATTTTCAGGTTTGTATTCTTAATATGTGCAGTGGTCAACTTTGCATAGTTCTTTCTTTCTTAGGATAAATTTCTAGAAGTGAAATCGCTGGATCAAAGAATTCACATTTTTGAAAGAGGCTTTAAGTCTAAATTGCCAAATTGGGGTCCAGGTAGGTTGCAGCAATTCACATTTCTTCCAGTGTTAGACAACTATGCTCATTTCTCCCTATTGTGGGTAGTAGACAAGTTTTCCCACATCATTGCCAATCTGGTAAACTTAAAAATGGCATCTCCTTGTTTCAATTGGCATTATTATTTATGAAGCTGATGCTTTTTCATGTTCAGTGGCCCTTGTAGATTTTGGCCTCACAGATAAGCAGCTCACAGTCTTCACTGCAGGTGCTTCAGAAACTTTACCCCGTTCATTCATCAGTCTTTTCAACAGCTTATGTTTTCTTTCCAGGAGCGACTAAAGCTGGTGACTGTTTTGGGTGCTGGTCTTCTCTGTGGAACTGCCCTTGCTGTCATCGTGCCTGAAGGAGTACATGCACTTTATGAAGATTTTCTTGAGGGTGAGAAAGAGAGACAGGCCTTTGAGATACGTTATTGATGTGGAGGGCTGAAAGGAGAAGCTTAGTGGTATTTTTTTCTGAACACAGTTCATGTTAGCCATAGAATATGTGCCAAAACATATCTTTTGACATCTTTGACAATAAACACATCAATAGCAGTTTGTGATTGAATGCCTCAGTCCATGAATACCACTTAAGATTTATTTGCAATAATGCATGAATTCTGGGCTTTATAAGTATGACAGTCATTTTTTAATGTCCATGCAAAAACTTCCAAGATCCTACATGATAATGATTGTATTTTTAGTGTTTTTTGTTTGTTTGTTTTTGTTTTTTTGCGGTACACGGGCCTCTCACTATTGTGGCCTCTCCCGTTGTGGAACACAGGCTCCGGACGTGCAGGCTCAGCGGCCATGGCTCACGGGCCTAGCCGCTCTGCGGCATGTGAGATCTTCCCAGACCAGGGCACAAACCCATGTCCCCTGCATCGGCAGGCGGACTCTCAACCACTGCGCCACCAGGGAAGCCCCTTTTAGTGTTTTTTAATTGAAAAACAAACATAGATAAACACATTTGGATTCAAGGACCCTTTATAGTAAACTTTGTGGTGAGGACGTCTGTAGTAAAGGATAACTAAAAAATTAAAGGGACCTTTCCTGACAAGCAGAGAACAGAATAGCTGTGTAAGAGAAAATGCTGAGCAGTGTCAGCTTGGTTCACTCATCTGTTAAATGATTTGGTCCTTCACTCCAGCTGGAAGGCATACTTGATTCAAATTTGTGATTCAGCAAAATCAGATTCCTACTTGTCATGAAACTTCACAGATACCTGTGAAGGACTGAAACCACAAATGTTAAATTGGTGAACTGAATCTTCAAATGCCAAGAGTCTGTTGGACTTTAAGAATAGTATAAAGAGGTAAACAACTTCCAAATTTCTTACTAGTTACAGTATAATAAATAGTCTTTCAGGTCTCAGTAGAGGAAAAGAACTGTGTCATTTATCCAGATTGATGATGCTCTTATGCCTAGGGTATGAATATGGGCATAATGGTAAAGAGTGAGGATTGTGGAGATTTTATTGCAAAATAGGACAGAAGCTGAGGATTGGTCAGCCTTAGGGGAAAAAAATAATAAATCAGGAGTCTTAGAGCAGTGGTTTTCACCCTTTTTTGATCATATATTGTATTGGGAAAGAAGATATACACGTGCTATTGTACTGATTTACTCTGTACGTTATAAAACACACTCCTTAAATAGAAAATTTTGGAATATGAGATTTAAAGTCCTTTCATATTCTAGTGGATCATCTTGAATTTTTCTGGATGTGATCATTACTATCCTGATATCCTAGGAAACATTCAGACTATGATTAAATAGACAATTAAAATTTGTTTTGCTTGTCTGTGCTAAGAATTATGGGTGGCAGTTATTTCCTAAACTTGTCTGATAATAAAAGTTCCTTGAGGGAGGGGTGCATTTTAAAAATGTAGTTTCCTGGCCCCCAACCTAGACCACTGAATCAGAATTTCCAGGGAAGGGACCTGGGAATGTCTAATTTTAACAAGTTGTCAAATGATTCTTATTAGACAAGTTTGGGAAACACTGGGGTAGAGGAAAGAACTGCTTCAGGTTTAGTTTCTGTTTGTTTGTTTTTTAATAACAGTTTATGAGATAATTTACATACCATATTTCAGGTATAGTTTTAAAGTTAAATGTAGCTACTAGGTGTTGGGTTGCTTTCCTTTATTTTAATAGTTTTCCTGGTTTTGTCCTAAAATAATTTTGTGGATTCATTTGAAAATGTATGTGCTGTATAAACCTGTTTTTTCAAAAATAAGCGTTCTGGTCTCTTTAACCTTTTTACCATAGATTATTCCCCTGCCCTAAGCCATCATTAAAAATCTTTTAAGGGACTTCCCTGGCGGTCCAGTGGTTAAGACTCCATTAAGCTTTTGCTGCAGGGCATGTGGGTTCTGTCCCTGGTCGGGGAACTAAGATCCCACAAGCCACCCAGCCTTGCCAAAAAAAAGAAAAAAAAAACTTTAAAAATTATTTTCCCTGGTGGCACAGTGGTTGAGAGTCCGCCTACTGATGCAGGGGACGCGGGTTCGTGCCCCGGTCCTGGAGGATCCCGTGTGCCGCAGAGCGGCTGGGCCCGTGAGCCATGGCTGCTGAGCCTGCACGTCCAGAGCCTGTGCTCCGCAACGGGAGGGGCCACAACAGTGAGAGGCCCACGTACCACAAAAAAAAAAAAAAAAAATTTTCATTTATATATTTTACATTCACTCTTTTTGGCATGAATGACTGCATTTTGGCAAATGCATAAAGTGAAAATGCAGAACAGTCCCATCACCTTCATCCCCTTTTGTAGTCAAACCTTTCCCCCAACCTTGGGCAACCTCTGATCTCTTCTCTCTATATATAGTTTTGCCTTTTCTGAATGTCATATACATGTAATCTTGTAGCCTTTGGGTCTGACTTCTTTCATTTAGCATAATGAGGTTGAGAGTCATCATGTTGTTCTGTGTATCAATGGTTTGTACCTTTTTATTTCTGAGTAGTATGCCACTGTTTGGATGAACCATAGTTTGTTTATTCCTTCACCAGTTGAAAGACGTATGGGTGTTTTCCAGTGTTGGTGATTATCAGTAAAGTCACTATAAGCATTTGTGTACAGGTCTTTGTGCGAACATGAATTTTTATTTCTTTTGACAGGTGGAATTGCTGGGTTATATGGTAAGTGTGTGTTTACCTTCATAAGAAATTGCCAAACTTGTTTCCAAAGTGCCTGTACCATTTTGTATTCCCCTCAGTAGTGTGTGAGAGTTCCAGTTGATTCCCTTCCCAACACTTGATGTTGTCTATTTTGTTTTAGTTTTTTATTTTAGTCACTGTAATAGGTGGGTAGTGGTATCTCAATGTGGTTTTAATTTGCAATTTCCTAATGGCAAATGACGTTGAACATCTTTTCATGTGCTTGATTGCCATTGCTGTATCTTCTTTGATGGTATCCAATCATTTGTCTATATTTTAAATTGAGTTTTCTTATTATTGAGTTTGGAGAGTTCTTCATGTATTCTGGATACAAGTCCTTTACTGAGATACGTGATTTGCAAATATTTTCTCCTAGTCTGTGGCTTCATTCTCTTAACAGTATCTTTCACAGAGTAGTTTTTAATTTTGATGAAGTGAATTTATCAGTTCTTTATTTCATGAATTGTGCTTTTGGTGTCATATTTTAAAACCTTTCGCTAAACCCAAGTTCACAAAGATTTTCTCTTTTGTTTTCCTCTAGAAGTTTTATAATTTTAGGTTTTATACTTAGATCTGTGATCCATTTTGAGTTAATTTTGAACACAATGTAAAGGTTCATTTTTTTAAAATAAATTTATTTATTTATATTTTTTATTTTTGGCTGCATGGGGTCTTTGTTGCTGCACGCAGGCTTTCTCTAGTTGCGTGAGCGGGGGCTACTCTGTTGCAGTGCATGAGCTTCTCATTGCGGTGGCTTCTCTTATTGAGGAGCATGGACTCTAGGTGCACAGGCTTCAGCAGTTGTGGCTCATGAACTCTAGAGCGCACAGACTCAGTAGTTGTGGCGCACGGGCTCAGTAGTTGTGGCTCACGGGCTCTAGAGTGCAGGCTCAGTAGTTGTGGCATACAGACTCAATTGCTCCGCGGCATGTGGGATCTTCCTGGGCCAGGGCTCGAACCTGTGTCCCTTGCATTGGCAGGCAGATTCTTAACTACTGCACCACCAGGGAAGTCCTTCATTCTTTGCATATGGATGGATGTCCAATAGTTCCAACACTGTTTGTTGAAAAGACTATTGAATTGTCTTTGCACCTTTGTCAAAAATCAGTTGACCATGTTTGTGTTGGTCTGTTTCTGGATTCTCTGTTCTGTTCCATTGATCTATTTGTCTATCCTTTGCCATTACTACATTTGTCTTCTTGATGACTATATCTTTACAGCAGATTTTGAAATTAGATTGTGAAGTCCTTCTAACTTTGTTCTTATTTTTCAAAATTGTTTTGGTTAAACTAGTTCCTTTGCCTTTCTATAAAAATTTAGAGTCAGCTTGTCAGTATCTACAAAAAAAATCATGCTGGGATCCTGATTGATATCAAATTGAATCTATAGATTAATTTGGGGAGAGTTGACATTTTAAGAATATTGTGCCTTCCAATCCATGAACACAATATATTTCTCCATTTATTTAGGTCTTCTTTGATTTCTTTCATCAGTATTGTAGTTTTCAGCATACAGGTCTGCAAATATTTTGTTAGATTTATACCTAAATATTTCATATTTTTGTGCAGTTGTAAATGTTACATTAAAAATGTCAATTTCCGATATTCTAGTATTTAGAAATTTGATAAGCTCCATGTAACTTCAGCTGCTGTCAGGGCAAAGTGGCAGGAGAAAAGAGAGAACAGAATAACCTGTTTTCCCCCCATATTCTTCAGACCACTGGGGCCCTTTTCCTAGATACTGTGGCCAGAAAGATGGTGTATTTCTTGGGATTTTGACTGCTGTTGTTACTGCCATGAAGTTCTGCAGCTTGGGCTGCCTTCAAGGCAGGGCTGGGAAAGAAAAGAGAGGGAGGGTAAAAGGAAAAAAAAGGAGAGGGCTTCCCTCCACACCAGCACCTCTCAGCAGTCCCTCTTCCTGGTCCTCTGCTAGAAGGACAGGGTTTCTTTTGAAGCTTTTGCTGCCCTCTCTCCTCTTGCTATTGTTTACTCTTTATAGTCTTCAGGTAGTTGTATTTTGTGTGTTTTGTCCAGAGTTTTTGTCGTAATCAGCGTGTGATTGAGACTATAGTGGGTTTACTCCACCTTGGCCAGCACCAGAAGTCCCCATCATTCTTTTTAAAAAGTAAAATGTTAATATTCCACTTTATTAAATTTTGAGGTAGCTCGACGATGATGTTAGTTTTAAACTAAGCTATCCAAATTTTCCTCATCTCTCTCTATACTGATAAGTCACATCACTTTA